CGTCGCCGGCCCGCCGCACCCCTGTGGGGCCCGCCGCCCCTGCCCTGTACGCGTTTTTACTGTCGTCGGCTGCGTGTAAATAAAGGAGCTGTCACCAGATGGGCGAAGCCACAGCGGTGGCTTCAGGGAGACCTGGCGGGCAGTTTTCCAGCCCGGGGCTTCTGGATGGCCGCCTGATTGTCATCAGCCGTGACCTGTAGGCCGGGAATCTCGCCCCAGGCCCAAGGGCGACAAACCCTTCTTTGGCGGGGGTGCCTTTTTAATTTTGTTATTTTTCTGGATATTTTGAAGTCATCGCAGGATCTCTCTAACGAGGGACCTCACGTGTACTCACCACCCAGGAAAGCACCAGCAGAAGGCAAACTATTTTTAAGTAGAAGCGACCTTGACAGTACAGACATGAGAGTCATTTAAACATTAATTAGAAGTCTGAGATTAATCAGTTAACGTTCAAGGAGTTAAGACATTAAACAATGGGGCAATTACACATGCTAGCTTTCCCAGAGTCTGCATTGATAAACTACCTAGAGAGGTCGACTGGGAGTTTTAAAAATTAAAGCCTGGCAACCCAGCTCCCGTTCCAAACATGACCGCACACCTGCGTCTTTCCTTCCAGTTCCGTCCCTGTAGCCCACAGTTTAAGCCACCAATAATTGTTATTTTAGATCCCAGCTATTATGCCTGCTAGCCAAGGCTTTACATTAACTGTCACCCTCTTCTTTCTATCCTTATATGGGCTGCAAGGCTTCCAGCCTCCCTCTCTAGGTACCAGGTGGGAGGCAGAAGAGACAAGGGGAAGACAGGAAAGGGAAAAGACTGTACCTACTCCATGGCAAGTATTTGCTAAATGTTTTGCACATATCTTATTTAATTATCACAACAACCTCACGAGTTAGAATAATTTTCACTGTTTTACAGATGAAAGGAATTTGGAGCGCTTTAAAAATGGGCCCAATTCATATAGTTAAAATGTGAAAAGCCTTTATCACGTTCTTTGTGTTCCCAACTCCGTGTGGCTTCCATTCCACTTAACATAAAAGCAAAATTCTGAACTCCTGCCTGGACTCGATGGCCCCTTTACTTCCCTGAGCCCTCCTCCTTGTATTTGCTCTTTCTCACTTTCACGTACTCATTGGTTCCTGGCTAGTCCTGGCTGCTACTTGAAAATGCCAGGTAGCTTTCTTCCTCAGGAACTCAACATTTACTGCCTTGTCTGGCTCTACCGATGCAGTCTCCTCTGTCACGAATTCAAGTCTTTTCTAAATGAGATCTCGCTCATAGGTCATCTTTGATGCTGCAACCCCTTCTGTTCCCCCTAAACACTGTCGCTCCTGTTTTATTTTTCTCCAGAGAACTTCACCTTCTCATATTTATTTTGTTTTCTTATCTCTCTTGTCCTCCTTCCCCTGGAACGAAAGCTCCATGAGGGCAGATGGTTTGGCCCATTTTACTTAGGAGTCAATGGTCAGTGCCCACTATAATCGCTGGAACAAACAAGGCGCGCAGTGAAGACTCATGGCATGTCGAACGAGTGAATCTATGTACCGTTCTGAATCCCGGTGACTCTAAATCCTTAGAGTGAGTTAAACCTCCTGTCAGTCTGTCTTTACTGCCTTATAAAATCTGCTTTAAACTCAGGTCACTCTCTGATCACACACACACACACACAAGTGTGTGTGTGTGTGTGTGTGTGTGTGTGTGTGTGTGTGTGTGGTGCAGGCTATGGAACCCAGGACATCGTGTGAGGCAAGTGCTCTACCTCTAAAGCTACATCTCTAGCCCTAATACACCATATCTTATGGAATCTAGAAAAGTATCTGGCAATAACAGGCACAATGAATTTTTGTCAAATTAAATGAATTTGCACTTGTTTTTACATTGCTTTGTGCTTAGTCTTAAGTCACAGATAAATTTTGTGCAACTTCAAGTACATGATGATGAAAGTCCTTTTTCTTTTACAGCTATAAATATAATGTTTTTCTTGTACTTGGTAGCCCATAAATCTTGAAAGGGCTATAAAGAGGAGAGAAAAGCTTTGAATAGCTTCTATGCTGATTATAAAAAATTGGGCATTAGCAGAAACCTAATCCATCCTGACCATCTCAGTTGTCAGCCAGCCTCATGACTCCCAAAGTGAGTCTACATCGCACTGTGTGTTCTGTGCAGCCTACACTCCAGCTTCACCTCATACTCTGTAACATTTCCTTTCTTTCCTTAACACACAGCTTACAGCAGAGGCTTTCAAGGGGAAAATGCTTTCTGAATCATCTGACATGCTTACAAAAATGCAAGTCCTAAGGTACCACCATTCAGATGTTTCATTCAGTTGAAATCTCTTCTTTTGTTTTGTTTGGGGTTAGTACTGGAGAGTGAACCCCAAATCCCCAGTCCTTTTTAAATTTTTTTTATTCTGAAACAGGGTCTTGCTAACTTGCTAGGTTGCCCAGGCTGGTCTCAAACTTGCAATCTTCCTATCTCAGCCTCCCAAATTGCTGGGATTACAAGCACCTGAGCCACCATGCCTGGCAGAAACCTGCATTTTTTTTTAAAAAACAAATTGTGATCCTAAATCAGCAATTAGGCATCTGCACAATGACAAACTCTCCTTGGTTTCCCCTTTCCGTGTTCTACACCCAGGCCTGTGCTGTGATCACAGTGGGGAAAGAGAGAGGGAATATTTGTAAGAATAGACGGGGAATTCTGGGCTTGCTGAAAGATGTAACTGAACCTAAAGGCAGCTACATGCATGTGCCTGCAAACATTTTGATCTGCTTTATGAAGGCCAGATAGAATCAAAGCCAAGCAATGGAGTTCCTCATGCTACTTGGGCTCTTAAAAGGTCTGAGATCCAGGGCACACTCAGAGCACTGCAAACCCTGAGGACTTAAAGAAACAAGAACATCTGGGAAAACGGTATCGTTAACCAGAGAACTGCTGTTCAATCCAGAAATCAGCAGTGCTTGTGTTTCAGCAATGGGTCTTGATAGCCCACTCATCTTCTGTTTAACAAGCTTCGATTGCCAGGAACTAGTAATTCTGCTCATGAATCAGCACCTCTCTGCTTCTTTTTCACACACAGTTTCAGCTGCTCCTGCTATCCGAGCTTCCACTGTCCGCTGTCTGTAACCTACACTCTAAACTCTGCCAGGGAGAGCATCTGTCTCTCGTTCACTGTTCAATAGGAAGAGACTTCATGGGACATTTTTTCTGGTGAGTGCTGGCTTTCTTTATGACTGGCAAATAGACCATTGCTGGTGTTTGGGTCCCAGTCATGAGTCCACACACTGTGGTCAGAGTAACAGGATAGTGAACAGGGAATTCAAGCGGTAGGAGCCACCCATGGAAGCCAATACAACCCTAGCTTGTTCAGGGGAAAATCGGCACACAGGAATAGGTCCTATCTAATTAACTTTCCCAGAACATTATCCCCCGGGGACACTTACTTTAGA